TTCTTTGCCTTCTGAACCGAAGACCCAAAGCAAAATATCCAAGCAGTAACTAAGAAACGTCAAACCGGTAGACATCACAGACCGGAATCAAGCTGTAAAACAAAGAAATATGTGGTAAACTCCAAACTTAGGAACTGAGTGCAACATATCGAATATACGTGACCTGCAAATAGAGAGCATCATACTCAAATTCATGTACATATGTCACACTCTAAAACACCATATGTTCAATACAAGTAACACATGTGCACTTACCGTGAGATAAGACAAACCCCCCGATTGAACCCAAAGCGAAAAACCAGACCCAGACCCACGGGAGGGTGGGTGGGAATAATACTCGCCTCCGTGTCATTAATAAAATCATGACTTTACGTCATGTTAATAGTAAAATCTGGGAATTTTATTAATGACACGGAGGCTCCTATTATGCTAGTTTAAAGCTGAGCCACAACCAATGAAGAAACATGTTCAATCGGGCGGAAATAAAAATCACGGAACGTAGATTCCTTAGACCAATCTGCCGCTTTCAAGATATCGTCCAGGCGACATCCTATCGTAGAAGCCTTTGATGCCATGGCACCCCTAACTGAATGAGCCGAAAAAATCGAAATATCGATACCCACAGCCGAGAGGAGGTCTTTAACCCAGCGGGCAAGCGTCGGCGACGAGACCGGTAGAAACGGTGCTTTCAAGGAGATAAAGAGTGGAGGCAAGTCAGTTGACCTCAGCAGCCGGGTACGATCCAAATAAGCCTGGAGACAAGCCACAGGACACAAAGCAGGTCTGATGGAGCATCTAGGGTAGTCCACCGACTTGGAAGCCGACTTAGTCCTCCTCGAGATATTAAATGACACACCTCCGGGGGTGAACGAGACCGCGTTCCAGTCCAGAGCCCTGACGTCCGACACCCTCTTACACGAAAGTAGACACAGAAGCATGACCAGTTTCCATGATAACTGTTTGAGTGTCAAGTCCTCATTACAGGGCCAGGAGTCCAAGAATCCAAGGACGACGTTAACGTCCCAAAACGATGAGTATCTAGATCTTGGCGGTCTAGCAAAACGGATACCTTTCAACAAGCGGCACACGATAGGATGTTGTCCAATCGGAGATCCGTCTATCCCTTGATGTCCGGCCGAAATGGCTGATCTATAAACATTAAGGGTACGATAAGCCAAACCAGAATCAAAACGTTCCGTCAGGAAACCAAGCAGCGCATTTAGAGGGGCAGAAAGTGGATCCAGCAATCTTCCCAAGCACCAGCCAGACCACACGCGCCATGCGGTCCTGTAAGCCGCTCTGGTACCTGGTGCCCAGGCATTCTCCAATAGTCGAGCAGTTGTCTGCGAAACGTCCGTGACACACCAGGGTCTCCCGAGATTAGCCAAGCCGTGAGTTGAAGTAAGTTCTGATCCACCAATTCGTGCAATTTCCCATCCGGATCCAGAAGTACATCCGGCCTCATTTCGATTATCCGTGGGAAATCTATGGCCATCTCCAGAAGGCGGGGAAACCACGGTTGAGAGTGCCAGAGCGGAGCTACCATCACTATCGTGCAATTCTGTCCGGCCGAGTACGCCAGTGTCCGGGATATCAGGTTGAACGGTGGGAACGCATAATGGCGTCCCGGCGGCCACGTCTGCAAGAACGCGTCCACTGCCGTGGCCGCTGGGTCCGGTCTCCAACTGAAGTACTGGGGTAGTTGGGTGTTCAATCTGGACGCGAACAAATCCAGGTGAAGTGGACCCCACAACCGTTCTATCCTTTGAAATGTTGAGGACAGCAAGTGCCAGTCTCCTGAATCCTTCAGGTAGCGCGAGTTCCAATCCGCCCACTCGTTGTCCAGACCCGGAATGTGCTCGGCCGTAACCGATACGGCATTGTGTAGGCAATACCGCCAGAAATCCTTTGCCAAGTTCGCCAACTGCTTCGATTTTGTCCCCCCGAGATGGTTTATGTACCTGACAGCGGACACATTGTCCATACGTAGGAGGACGCAGCAATTTCCCTGCGTCGGAGATAGACTTCGAATGGCAAACGAACCCGCCAGAAGTTCCAGGCAGTTTATGTGCAGAGCCGATTCGATCTCTGACCATCTTCCACCGGTGGAGACACCGCCACAGCGAGCGCCCCAGCCATGCAGGCTTGCGTCCGACTCTATTATCACATCCGGCGCGGAGCCGAAGATCGCCCGGCCGTTCCAGGCCTCCATGTGGTCCAGCCACCACCTTAGTTCGTCTCTGGAGTCCCTGTCCAGGGTCAACACGCTCTCGTACGAGCCCCCTGAGCGAAGATGGGACCCTTTCAAACGTTGGAGTGCTTGATAATGCAGTGGGCCCGGAAAAATTGCCTGAATCGATGAGGCCAACAGGCCGATCACCCTCGCCAATTGCCGGACGGAGAGAGAGGTGGCTCGCAGCGCCCGTCGTATCTCCTTTTTCATCGATCGGAGTTTTGCCTCCGGGAGGAACAGACACTGGGTGACTGAATCGACCTCGAAGCCCAGGAACTCTATCCTTTGTACCGGGGTCACAATGGATTTTTCCCAGTTGACGAGGAAACCTAGTCTCTCCAGGAGACTCACCGTCCATCTCAGGTGCCTGAGAAGTTGCTCGGGGATGAAGACATAATCAGTATGTCGTCCAGGTAGATAATCATGCGGACCCCTCGTGCCCTGAGGAAGGCCACCACGGGCTTCATTACTTTCGTGAAGCACCACGGAGCTGAAGATAGACCGAACGGCAGACATGTAAAACGCCATCGACGACCTTGCCACGTAAAATGCAATAAGTCCCAATGCTCCTCCGCCATGGGTATAGTCAAGTAGGCATCTTTGAGGTCTAGTTTGACCATCCAGTCTCCCTGACGGAGCAGGTCCCTGAGACAATGAGCGCCCTCCATCTTGAAGTGATGGTAACGTAGGAAAGAATTGAGGTGTTTGAGGTTTATCACTGGACGTACGCCTCCGCCTTTCTTGGCGACAAGAAACAGGTTGCTTAGAAATCCCGGGTGTCCGTAGGGGATTTCTTGAATAGCCCGTTTGGCAGACAGTTCCGCGATCTCTGCGGTAATTAATCCGGCCTGCTCTGCCGGTAGTTTCAGCTCCTGTGGGAGAAACGTCTGGACAGGGGGAGACAATAAATCCAGGCGGAAACCTCTGACCGCACTGAGAACCCAAACATCCGTGGTGATCATACCCCACACATCGAGAAACAGTGCCAATCCGCCCCCCACACTCGTTCTGCAAGATACACGTGTTGGTGTACTCACCGTAAGGGCGTCTGTATGAGGGTTGTCCACGACCTCCCCGACTCTGCCATGGTCTCCCCCGTGAGGGAAAAAAGGGCGTTGGCTTATAGTCTTGGTAGGTCCGGGGGGCGGAAAAGGAACCTCTTTGAGTCCTCGGGGGACCTCGAGCTCCACGGCCGGGCGGACGGCTCCTATACCTCCCGGCCCCATGGGAAACCTTAAGGCCGAACACCCTCTTCAGGTTGGACTGCGCCTTATCGAGCGCGGTAAAGGTACGGACAAAGGAGCCTAAGTCCTTAACAAAACATTCTCCGAAGAGCATACCCTTGGCCGAAGCACCAGGCTCCTTCACTGCCAGGTTAACTAACTTGGGCTCAATTTTGAGCAGAATCGCCTTGCGGCGTTCAGCCGACATGGCTGTGTTCGCGTTGCCGAGAAGGCAAATCAACCTCTGGACCCACCCAATCGCTTCATCAAAATCAATAGGCTTCGTTCCAGCCTTAGCCGCTTCCAGAAGCTCGTAAAGCTTGGCGGCGGGGCCCAGGGTATCCAAGATCTTGTCTTGGCAATTATGCAGTGAAAATTCCAGTCCTTTTCGGGGCTTCCAACCCGTCTTAGTTAAGAACTGAGAAATCTGGGGGTCAACCTCTGGCGTCTTGCACGCCGAATCAGGCACCGAAGGCCTTGGGCACTCGGCCCTCAGTTTACTGCGCCCCTCCTTGGAAAGGGGGGTACGCATACGAAGCGCCAGATAATTGGCAATATGCGCGGGCGGGTCCCATTCCGCCGAGCGGGGATGGCGAAGGTCATCGGGATCGAACAGGGGGTAACCCTGAGGATCACAGATGTCCTGCCCCTCACCTGGCGGAAGCGCCGAAGCGTCAAACTCCGCCTCATCGCCGGAAACCCCTTCCTCATAGGAGGCGTAATCAGGGGGATCCGAGTCTGACTCTCCAGTTTGATCGGTATCCGATCCATCATCATCTCGGGCACGTGCCCGTTTCCATTTTCTGGCCGATTTTGCCCGGCCAGCGGCTCTCTTGCGCGGAAACGCGCCAAATGGGACGGCCATAGGCACGTCAGTCAAGGCAGGTGTCACCTGCGTCCTCTCTGGAAAGACATGTTTAAATTTTGTTTGTGCCTTGCGACCCATATGAGGCTGCAGCGCAGGCAGGGGAACAGGCAACACGGCAGGGCCCAAAGGTTGCGACAGCGCTTGCTGAATAGTGTGAGAGAGGGACGAGGACACTGTCCCCATGGCTGAAGCCAGGGCCTTCTGCATGGTGGAATCAAAAAGGGCCTGGAACTCCTGTGAGGGAGTAAGGCCCATACCCCCTGTAATAGGGGTCTGAGAGGAGTCCATAATGGGGTAACTGGGACTACCAGAACCCTCACTCCTAGCCTGCATAATTAACAGAGTCAAATAGAAACTGCAAGTACTTTCCCTTTAAATATCTGAGACAAGGAGCAGAGCAAATCTGTAAAACCTAAATAAGCTAAAACAGGTGACAGAAAATAAACCTACACAGTATAAAGGGTTGAGTAACCCACCAGGAACAAACGAACTATATATAAATACTTGCACACAGTAATGGGAGGTAAAAGGGAGCCGACCCAGCCGCGTGGAAACCGAGGGTAAGATGGCCGCCGCGCGCAGAACGCGCCCCGGCCGTTTCCAGGCTCCTCCCCCGCTAATGGACGGGGAGCGCGACCACACACGCGGCCGGCACTCCTTGCACTAGCGGGAGATCGGGTCGGCAGATAAGCGCGGCCGCGTAGGGGACCAGGGAGCAGAGGGCTCGAGAATGAAACCTCCCCTGCTAGCCGCGAACCCTGTCTGAAAGGGGGACGGCCAGACAGACAGGGGAAGCGGCGGGTAAACGCAGGGGAGGCAAACAATATGTACCACCAAAAAAGGTATACAAATCAAAAGAACATCAACATAAAGCCTGTCAATAAAAGACAATAAGCAAACAGAAAACGATAACATAAAATAACACAGGCAAAAAAACCTTAGTGAAACCCATCAATCAAAAACCAAGTAGGAGAGAAAAATTATACTTAGCTGGTCTGAGGACAGCAGCAAAGAAAGAGGAAGTGGAAGTACAAGGATAGAGATTTATGGACTGTTCCTAGAGACTGATTGGCTGCCCTGTTACTAGGCAGATCTGGTTGTACCTGTTATTATTTTATTGCATATCTACATTTTTTCTCTTTCAGTTTTATATTTCTCTTTGCTGCTGAGGAATAAAGTAAGAAAGAGATAGCATAATAGGAGCCTCCGTGTCATTAATAAAATCTTAGTTTGGTGCTATTGCAATTGTGAGGTTTTATAATTTTGTGGGGTGGGGGTAGGAGGGCTGGATTTTAACACTCTCCACCAGCACTCAGCAGATAAATTACAGCAAAAGAGCAGGCCATGGTGTATAAGAATTTGGTTTTCAGTTTGTAGTGAGTTGTGCTTAAAGGGGTAGTGGTAGGAACATGATTGGAGTGGGAAAAGGGTTACAAAGAATTACATCTTAGAGGTATGTACATGAAAACAAACAATACAAATATAAAATTACTGGTATTCTATTACTATTTCAGGTCACTGTTTAGCCTCTACTCTTGGACCAACTGCTTATTCTAATCATACAGACATGTATAACTAGCATTTAGTTATCTGTTATATTATCTTCTAAAAAACAAAACAAAAAAAAACCAAAGAAAATGAGGCTGTTATATCCGAGAAATGTTTCCACTACACTTGATGTTATATAATTGACATAACCACCATCTAACAGTCTGTAACTCATAACTTAATTGCCTCAATAAGGAATAAAAAAAAACCTAATAATAAATAATAATGCATATATGGTGAGGGAGTAGTACTTACACTACACATATGGCTAGGTACAGAATACACACATAAATGCAGCATGCACATTTGATTGAAGCACTGTCTGCTGTTTTACTCCTTGTTGAACTACCTTGGTAAACACCCATGATTCAAGGCACCTATTGGAAACTGGCACTTGATGGATAGTGGCACACAGATGGAATGTAACCTGTGCTCCATAGTTACTAAACTAAATAGGGACCCCACTCTGCCTGGAGATAGTCAATTGGCTTAATTGTCCCCAATAAATTTTGACATGAGATAGGAGGGATTGGACAACTAGCAGACTGCACCGCAATGAATCAAGTTGACAGATTAAAGGCAAAATACATGTAATGATTGTAAGGGTACTTCGTAAATGGGGTGCAGGGATTAACTAGAAGGAAAGTCAGAGTTTACCTGTGGATGAGAGTAGAGGGATGTCAGATTAGTTCACATTGAAGATGCTGTGTTAGTTTCCTTGGTAAACCCAGGAGGTAGCTAGGACTATTTTAATGGATTGATTCAATGCATCTCTATGAGGAGATGTGATTGGTGCAGCACCTTGCCACACATGTGCAATTGTCTCCCGATTCTTTCCTATTGGAAAGCATTGGATTGGCTGAGATCATCAAGTTTAAGAATCTCAGTCAAGGGGGCAGAGCGTGGGCTGTACCCATGCGGCACTGGATTTGGTGACAAGACTGGTGTGGGAGAAAAGGTAAGTAAAATCACCTCTTCAAGGCTCAGCGGAGTGGACGGCTGGTCACCTAAACAGCCACACCAGCACTAACGTGTTCCTTGAATGGGAGATAACTAACACCAGGCTTTCATACTGGACGGTAAAAATAATCATCAGGAGCAGATGCTAACTCACTTAAATTTAAAGTTGAAAAGGTAAAGTTAATAACTGCAAACCCCAAATATACCCTCCTATAAAAATGACATTTATTCAATATTTAATTACATTTAAAAGCCCATCTACCTGTATGTATGTGGTGTGTGTAGCGTTCAATAAATACCTGTAAAACGTTGCATATCAGGTGTATGGAAATATTAAGGGGTTTCCTCACTAAACAGCAATTAGTTAATTGAAAAACAAGCTGTAAATCATCTGTTTTAGTATACAATTTGCAACTCAGAGTTCAATTCACTGTTTAGTGAATAAACCCTTAAGCCTTTATGAGCTTTTCAAAAAGATTGTATCTTCATGAAATGATCAAAAACATTTTGGGGGGTAGAAGAGCTGCTTTAAAGAATGTGGTGGACTACGGAAGTCTGCGGGTATTTTTTTTTTTTTTAGCTACAAACACCAAACGGCTACTGATATTAAACTGCTTTGTAGCTGCTTTTTACTGAAAAGCATGGAAAACAATCTTGTCATTTTAAAGTGTGATCTGACAATGTGTTGTAAGAGTATTACGGAATATATTTGTGCAGTTATGACATTTGTTTAATAAATTGTTTGTAGTATTATGTGCAAAAAGCAGTAATTGTTTAATACCACCTATCAGAGTTAATCATTAAAGTAAAACAACAACGTGAATGTAAAGTGACTTTCAAATTTGTCTAAGTAGCCAAACTGCAAAAATTATCTAAGTCAGTTATACTTTCAGTTTGGCTGCTGTGGCCTTAAATTATAAATTCTCTTTAAATTCAGATTTTTAGTGAATAGCCCTGTGTGTTATTGCTTAAAATATACTGGAATATATGTTATTTCAAACAGCTTCTGTAAACTCAAAAAAACCTACACAGCTACCCCATCTGAAAGGGAGGCACATAATACATTGGTATGTCTGAGTTGCCAATGGACATAAAATGTCTTATAAAGAAGAATTTAGTTGGTTTACTGGACAGGATGCATAGATCCTAGAGAACACAGCAAGCCTAAAAGCTATGTTAGGGGAGGATATAGAACCGTCGCTCCTCCCCTCCCCTAGACAGAGGCACAAGAGCACTTTCGGTTTTATAGTCATCTCAGCTTCGCTGTTAAATCCTTCTAAACGATCTCACTTGATCCCTTCAAATCATTAGCAGTGTCACTTTGGGGTCCTAACGGTGAAGGGCTGTGTAATTTAGCAAGCCATCTCCAGTGTCCTATCGCAGCCCGGGCAGGGATACTTAACGTTCTATTTGCATTCTAAAGAGAGAGAGAGCGCGATCTTGCATTATGCCTGCACTAGGAGATCTACTCTATGCATCAGGCAGTCTGGGGACCTCTGAAAGCAAGCACTATTCCAACTGACAGCCCAAGCAAAAAGAAACTCACCCTCCCCAAAATTTTGAAACGATAATAAACAAAATCCAGATACAAACTGAGCCACCGGCTTAGTGTAGATCTGCTGGATCCCTTGTCTGGGGCAGGATCGGGCACATATCCGGTGTGACATGCTGTTTTCCCTGACAGCTAGCGGTGTAACTGCAGCAGACAGAACTCCCTGTCCTCCCGCCGCCAGCACTGAGCCCCACGCCTAGGACAGTGCAGGACAGCGAGTGGATCCCACCTCCTGCTTTACATAACATCTGACCATGGGAAGCGCGTGTTGTGGACCCACCGGCGAAGATCTAACACGGAGAACTTATTGATCCCCCCACCTCCCAAGGGATCCCCCCCATCAAGAATCGATCCATCATTTCGGGACCACGTTGTGCTGTCAGTTTTTTGCAGACAAAACCACTGAGACGTTTTTTTTCCTTTCCCTCCTGGCGGAAATGAAGAGCCAGTGAAAATCTATTATTATTATTTTTGTTAAAGGGGGGTTGGGGGTGGTCTGGCTTCCTCCCTTGAAGACCTATGCAAAGTTATGGCTTGAAACACCATGGGAACTCGGAAAAGAAAGTGCTTCACCTGCAGGTAAATGGAATGCTAGCTCATTAACCCGCTCGCTGCCAGTGGAGCTCGGTTAGTATGTCTGTCACCCTGTTATAGATAGTTTAGGGCAGCAACTTATTTAGTGAACTCGTAGACTGTGAGCATTAATGTCTGTAGTGTTTATAGCCTCTATGTATACATGTTCCAAGATTCCCGCATGCACACCCCGTGTTATCCCCCTCCTCCCATAGCCCTGCCTGGCTCACTATCTGATACCTGCAGGTGATAGTTAGGCTGGCCTGGAGCACGAGGGGCTGAACTCTCTCAAGCATTGCCTTGCACACTTGAGCACTATTATAGTGCGTAGCTGTCAGTGCTGCTGCCACTGTAGTCGGAATGGAAATGGTTACACATTTTATACATTATCACCGCTGCGCTGGTATTCTAAACGCGTTCTCTCACTATCATTCTATAGCTCTGGCATCGAATGGGTTACACATTCACTGAAGCTCTGGCATTGAAGGGATTATATAGCCATCCCCAATAATGCTTCTACCAACGGAAAACTTCACACGTGCTCTCAGAATATCTCCTCATTTTATGGTATTCTCAGAATAAAAGTCTACAGCTCTGGCATTGAATGGGTTACACAATATATAAAAGTGTCAAGCATAGTGAGAGGTGAAGTTCTAAAAGTGGAGCTATCACCATGGAAACCAACGCAATGACTTGCGGTTGCTATCCATGGTGATTGCTCTACTGTTAGGACTTTGCCCCAGATTTTTGTAAATGCCTTCAACAGTCTCAGAATAATGCAGTCTCTCCTCCGAAATATATTGCTAGAATAGTTTTGACATGCTAATATAATCATAGTAATTATGGAGCAGATCTCCTCCTGCTCTCTAGAGCTCTTTATAAATACATGGAATTGAAAGCTTAGAGCCAGGCCCTCGCCACCTCTTGTTCATGTAAGTCTGCCTTTTTGAAGTTACTTGCCTATTACACCCTTTGTACAGTGCGGCAGACTGCGTTGGCTCTCTATAAGCAATATTAATCAGTGTCTAAATAGGATAGATCATTTTAAAATGTTTTGTAGGTGATACATTTCTAGATCAAAAGTCAGGAATCTATGCTGTAAAATAAGAGGAAGCTATGAAGTGTTCTTGATATTTGAGTATAATTACAACACAGGGGAAGAAAGAGCTATTTTGTTGATAGTTTTCATGCATTGAAGATGCTTGCAGGTAATGTGTGCACTACTATGAAAGTGACAGGTTTATTCCCTTTCTTCTTTTGATTTATTTTTTAGAATTCTATTTTAGACAATTTCCATAATCTTAGCAGTTTGTTTATTAAACTATAAACTGTGGTTCATTGGGCATTAATATGTTGTTGTATTTTTATTTTTTTTTTGCCCCAAAAATATTGAAGATGTCTTCTGGATGAGTTAAGTTTCCACTTTTTTTTGGCCTAAAGTTTTAGAATTTCAGATTTCAATTAACTACATAAATCTGATCATTAAAAGAACTGTGGTAATTCAGGCCTTACAAGCCTTTTTTACTTTTAAGAAAAGGGTTAATGCTGGTGACCTTGCATATCATTTACCAGATTTTATAGAGACATTATTATTATTATTATTTATAAAGCACCAACAAATTCTGCAGCACTGTACAATTGGTTAATTTCATGATTATACACTGAAGTGGATCTTGTCATTGTTCATTTAGAAACCCCACAAAAATATTATTTTCCAAATTAGTGTCTCTGCTAATAGATGCCAAGGAATAGATGCCAAGACAGCACTGTAAGGTGTCAATGTGTTTATTGCCATATTTACTATGAAGGACACAACCCTTATCTAAACTATTTGACCTCTATTACCCTATGCTTTCTTTGAATATTTGTTCCTCGATAGTTTTGTGAAAGTAAATGTTTTATAGTTGGTTAATAATTTATTGTATTTAACATAACGTTTGATATATTTTATGTGTTTGTATGTACATAGATATTTTTATGGAGCTTATTGGCAATGCTTCTTACTAACTATTAGGTGATCATTAATATATTTTAATGCAAAATCTCAGTGTTATAACGAGAGGTATACCAGCTCAGATAAAGACATGTTCGAGCTTTTATAGAGTTTGGAGTCCCATGGCTGGAAGACTGTAGTTTGACCCACCTCCCAGTGGCAGTAAATTTGATTTGCTACAATTACTGTATCCTATTATTATCTTTATTTTTAACGTTAATAACTGTTTTAGCATTTTACTATTCTCCTCTTTTCCATGTATTTATTCATTGACACGCAAACATAGTCTGTAAGGCCCTAACTGTTAGTGGGTGGTAAGATGTAAAGAGGTCAGGAAAAGGAAATCTATACATTTTGAACAGGATGCAAACATGTAAAATGGCTACTTGACGGTCAATTGAATCTTTTGTGAGGAAGTTGTCTGCTACAATGTGTTGCTTATAGCCCATGGTTATTATTTTTGAGTTTTCCCATTGATGCAAGGTTGTGCACTCAGCCCTGGGTGAGTAAACTGTTTGTGCCCAGAATGTGATATGCCCATTGCACAGCATTATTGATATTAGAATCTGTTATCTGTCTGTGGATACACTATATATACAGTGGAAGAAAACATGAATTTCACTTTGGTTAAATCTTTCCCCTAAGCACAGAAGCCATTTCATAGAAAATGAATAATTACCACAGAACTTCTTAAGTGCTCATCAGATATTTGTGGTGACATAAGTTTCTCTATTGTCCAAAGCACATGTTCCTGAAAAAAGTGTGTGTATGGCATGGTGGTGTTTGTGGTTGAGCTCTGGTGAGATACCGGTTGGTTGATATTGTGATATCCTTTTCTTTGTCTTAACGTACTTTCATCTAGGACACATTGTCCTGTTAACCCTCAGGGTGCTGTAAGGTTTGGTTCAGTTTGTGTAAGGGAAACGTGTAAGATAATTCTTGGTAAAACTGGTACAAAAATGATTTTCCAAAATGTGCATTTTGTATGCTTCTTCTTTGGAATTCGTGTTTAGAGTAGTATGTGTACGAGGAAGTGGATGAAAGTTATCTGTAAACCTATTGCAGAAGTGTGTTTTTTTTTTGTTTTTTTTTTATCTGAGAAAAAAAAATGGCCTGGTCTGGAAATGGCTACTAAGTAAGAGTCATAATTACCTCTCTTTTTCATATGAGGAGAGAAAAGATGCAGCCCTGGTGCTATGTCTGGAATGTCAAAATGTTAGAAAGTGAAAGCGGAGTTATTAACATGTATGTCATCCTCTGTCAGCTCTGCATAGGCATATATGGTTTTGTTAAAAGTTGTTTGCACAACTTGACAGCCAAGACTTGTTTCCTCACACTCCAAATGTCATTGTCCTGTCTG